ATTTATTCTGCTGGTGTATTTTTTTTTTTTTTTAGTTGGAGTTTCACTCAGTTGCCCAGCCTTCCAGGTAGCTGGAACTATAGGCGCACGCTATCACATCCAGCTAGTTTTTGATTTATTGTAGAGACGAAGTCTTGCCAAGTTGCCCATGCAGGTCTCGAACTCGCAGGTTCAGGCAATCCACTCGCCTCGGCCTCCCAAAGTGCTGGGATTACAGGCTGAGCCACCCAGCCCGGCCTCTGCTAGTGTATTTTAAAGTAATGCTAAGATATCACTTCATTTTACCCATGAATACCTCAATATCTATTTATTTATATATTTATTTTTTGACTTGGCGTCTCACTCCCGTCACCCAGGCTAGAGTGCAGTGGCACGCTCCCGGCCACTGCAGCCTTGACCTGCTGGGCTCTGGCGATCCTTCAGCCTCAGCCTTCCAAGTAACCAAAACTACAGGCATGTGCTACCATGCCCAGCTAACTTTTGATTTATTTTAGAGATGAGATCTCTCCATGTTGCCCCAGACAGTCTCGAAGCCATGGGCTCAGGCAATCGCCTTACCTCAGCCTCCCAAAGTGCTAGGGTCACAGGCTTGAGCCACTGCTCCAGGCCTCAATATGTATTTCGTTTTTTTTTTTTTTGAGTTGGAGTCTCACTCCATCGCCCAGACTGGAGTGAGGTAGCACGCTCCCAGCCACCGCAGCCTCCATCTACTGGGCTCTGGCGATCCTTCCGCCCCAGCCTTCCAAGTAGTTGGAACCACAGTTGTGCACCACCATACCTGGCTAATGTTTTGATTTACTGTGAGACAAGGTCTCACCAAGTTGCCCAGACGGATCTTGAACCCGCGGGCTCAGGCAATCCACTCACCTCGGCCTCCCAAAGCGCTGGGATTACAGGCTGAGCCACCGAGCTCGGCCTCAATATATATTTCTAAATCACAACAATGTCATTACCCAGTACTTATCTCTAACATTACCACAATCACATCCAACAAAATTAGTAACTGTTCTTTCATATAATCATAATACCTTGTTCATGTTCAGTTTCTCCCAATTGTCTTAAAAAAAAAAAAAAAAAAGAAAGAAAAAGATTTTTTTTTTAACAATTGGCTAGTGCAAATCAGGATCCAAAGCCCATACGTTATATTTGGGTTACACGCCTCAAGTCCCCGTTAATTTGTAACAGTTCTGTCTTCCTTTTTTGTTTTAATGCCATTTATTTGTTGGAGAATTGGGGTTTTTGTCCAGAGAATGTGCTGGAGTCCAGAATTGGCTGATTGTTTCCTCCTCGTTGCATACGCTCCTCTTTTCCTTCAGTTTATCTGTCTATCCTGTATGGACAGTATTTCAGCAAAACCAAATGGTTGATGAGGGAAAGTTCCTTTTTTTCCCCCTCTTTTAGAGACAGGGTCTCAGTCTGTCACTCAGGCTAGAGTGTAGTGGTGCAATCATAGCTCACTGTAGCCTTCAACTCCTGGGCTCAAGCGATCCTCCTGCCTCAGCCTTCAGAGTAGCTGGGACTACTGAAGGAAAATTCCTTAGAGAAGTTTCACAGTGAATAAATGCAGGATAAATGCTTAAATTAGAAAGTCGTCACTTTAAAAGTCCTGACAAAATAATAAATCCAGGGAACGATCCTCATTGGCTGCTGAAATTATCAGGAAAAACATTGATGGGAGCATTGTGAGGGAGGGATCGGCCCACAGCCCCTGGGCCTGCTGGATCAATCGCAACGTGATAAAAATCAGAAGATCAAACATCACGTGCCTCCGATATGATGCAGGAGTGAGGCACAAACAGCACCACCTTGAAGTATAATTGCCAAAAACTAAAAACCTGAACCTAGCCCTAATCAAGCCTCAGATGAAGCAGCCTCCTTCCTGGCTGCTGGCGGGTTTGCCACTTTTCATGACATCGCAACCTGCTTTTGTGGTGTTAACAATTTTTTATTGACTTTCTGTTTTTGTTTTGAGTCGGAGTCTCACTCCATCGCCCAGGCTGAAATGCAGTGGCATGCTCATGACCACCCCAGCATCGACTTGCTGGGCTCCGGCGATCCTTCTGCCTCGGCTTTCCAAGTAGCCAGAACTACAGGCACATGCTACCACACCTGGCTCATTTTTTATTTATTGTTGAGACGAGGTCTCGCCAAGTTGCCCGGCTGGTCTCGAACCCGCGGGCTCAGGCAATCCACTTGCCTCTGCCTCCCAAAGTGTTGGGATTACAGGCTGACCCACCGAGCCCGGCCTTTTCTTGATTTTCTAAGTAACACATGCTCATTGTTCTCGGCTAGCACTAGGAATCAAAGATGAGGAGACAGTGTGTGGCTGCTTTAAACCTTCCAGTGCTAGCCCTGAAGTCCTGGGGAGTACAAAGGTCGATTAGACATGGATCCCGCTCTGTGGCCAGGCTGACAGTTCTGAGGACAGGCAAGAGGTCACTTAGAGTTACCTTTTTGAAACTTTTACATAAGAGCTAGCTATGAAGACCATGTGATAAAACTCCTGAGACCTGACACCCTCTGCCGGCACCAAATACCTGAGGCCTCCTGTCCAGGAACTAAGCTGTCAGTATAGCCTTTCCCAGCCCTACTCCAGAGGTCCTCACAGCATCCCTGGTTTGCCGGTTGCTGGACCCCAGCGAGTGACTACCCTTGGGTTCTTGCCATGAATCTAGCTGCCTTCTGGTTTTCTCCCACCAGGTTTTGGCACCTGTGCATACCACTTTTCTTTTTTTTTTTTTGAGTCGGAGTCTCACTCTGTTGCCCAGGCTGGAGTACAGTGGCACGCTCCCGGCCACTGCAGCCTCAACCTGCTGGACTCCGGCAATCCTTCCGCCTCAGCCTTCCAAGTAGCCAGAATTACAGGCATGCGCTACCACGCCCGACTGGTTTTTTGATTTATTGTAGAGATGAGGTCTCGCTGCCCAGGCGGGTCTCGAACCCGCGGGCTCAGGCAATCCACTCACCTCAGCCTCCCAAAGGCGCCACCGAGCCCGGCTAGTTTTTGGGTTTTTTTTGAGTTGGAGTCTCACTTTGTCACCCAGACTGGAGTGCAGTGGCACGCTCCCGGCCACTCCAGCCTCGACCTGCTGGGTTCCTGCAATCCTTCTGCTCAGCCTTCCAAGTAGCTGGAACTACAGGCACACGCTACCACACCCGGCTAATTTTTTGATTTATTTTAGAGATGAGGTCTCGCCAAGCTGCCCAGGCAGGTCTCGAACCTGCGGGCTCAGGCAATCCACTCGCCTCGGCCTCCCAAAGTGCGGGATTACAGGCTGAGCCACCGAGCCTGGCTCAAAAAGTTTTTTTTTTTTAAATAGGTGGGTGTGATGGCATATGCCTGTAGTCCCAGCTACTCAGGAGGCTGAGGTGGAAAGATCGCCTGAGCCTGGGAGGTCAATGCTGTGGTGAGCCATGACTGTGCCACTGCTTTCCAGCTCGGGGACAGAGTGAGACCCTGACTCAAACAACAACAATAGTCTACATTGATCAGTAGATCCAGATATTGTCATTTACCCATCCTTTCTCAGCTGTGCAGTCTCTGCCATCCAGCACTGGGGCTAACAGAAGCTGACAACATGCAGGCCATTTCATGTTTCAAACAAGTTCATCTTCCAAGGGTGGTCTATGTAGACAGCTGGAATATAGGCAGGGCAGCACTCTGAAATCTGCCCCAGATTGTGTTAAGCTGATAAATAACCTAAACTAAAAGAAAGAGTAGGAACAGACTTTATCTGAGCAGAGAGTGTCTATCTCAAAACTTCATCCAAAGAAGATAGGATAATGTCCTAGGACATTGGATGTATTCATTGCCCAGAGAGCAGATAAAACATGAGTGAAAAAAGAAAAAATTATTTAAATGAATTTGTTTTTTCCTTTTCCTTGAAAGCTGTGATGGAAAATTTAAAAAAAAATCTTTTGCCTGGGTGCAGTGGCTCAAGCCTGTAATCCCAGCACTTTGGGAGGCTGAGGTGAGGGGATTGACCAAACCCGTGGGTTCAAGAACAGCCTGGGCAACTTGGCAAGACTTCATCTCTACAATAAATCAAAAAATTGATTGGGCGTGGTAGCGCACACCTGCAGTTCCGGCTACTTGAAAGGCTGAGACAGAAGGATCACCAGAGCCCAGCAGGTCGATGCTGGGGTGGCCGTGAACATGCCACTGCACTCCAGCCTGAGCAACGAAGTGAGACTCCAACTCAGAATAAAAAAAGCCATCTATTAGGGCTAACCCCAGATGTCCAGATGTCTTTCCTGTTTGATGCCACCTGAACATTGACAAACCTTTCTATATGTATCAGTCAACATCACATCTGCTGGAAGCCCCCTGAGCCCCTGGTCCAGAGTGGAATGACTTGTCCCTGTGAGGCCAAACTTGCCTGGAGCTCAGTCCTTGGATTTACTACATATGGTTGTCTCTTTGCCCTGATTTCCAATGACAGTGGGTCCCTAAATGCCAAGGGGGCCCTTCCCTTAGTTCAAACAGAGAGCTAGGATGGTGATTGAGACCCCTTTTCCACCCCGGGCACTTGGGACCTAAAGAGAAGGTGGCTGGAATTGAGGTGGCAAAGGAAGCCCTCCCTCCCTGGACAAGTGGAATTTTCAGGCTACCCTCTAACTTCCAGACATGTGTCTATGGTGCATGACAGATCCACACTTCTGAGGCCCAGGTAGAAAAATTGCCAATATCCCATATGCTAGGCTTTTTAAATACATTTTTTCTCTTTTTAAAAAATTAATGGAGATGGGGTCTTGCTAATTTGCCCAGATTGGTCTTGAACTCCTGGCTTGAAGCAGTCTTCCCACCTTAGCCTACCAAAGTGCTAGGATTACAGGCATGAGCCACTGGGCCTGGCCCATATACCACCATCCTTCTTGCCTGCACCCCTTGCTGCCAAAATTCAGGATTGAGCAAGCCAAAGGAAACAGCTAGAATGCATCTTGGAGTATGTTGCTGACAGCTCAGTTACTGCTCATGCCCTGGTGTTTGTGCCTTTCAGATGGAGGCTCCATGGTGAAGGCCCGGGTGCTGACTTGTGTGGAAGGGATGAACCTGCCCTTGTTAGAACAAGCCATCCAGGAGCAGAGGCTGTACCAGCAAGAGAGGGACCGCAGCCAATAGGAAATGGCAGCCCCGACAACATCCCCCATCCCACCAGCTGCCGAGGCCAAACCCGCTGGAGCTGCAGGAGCCCTGCAGAGTGTACACGCTTCCCAAGGGATGGCCGTTGTCTGGACCAGAGCGTTGAGGGGCGGGTGTTTAATCCAGCTCCTTCCCCTAATCTGGAATTGGCCCAGAAATGAGGCCCTGGAGAGCAGGCCCCCAAAGCTGCGCCCCCTGCCCCCCGGAGACTGCAGGTGGTCAAGCTCTGGGCGCTGGAGCTGAGCCTCGCAGGGGGACATGGAGGGTTCCAGAAGGTCCTCGTGAATAAAGGCCCCACTAGTGGGCGTGACTCTATGATGTGCACGTGGTGCAGCGCCGGCAGGGGCCAGGAGGGGGAGCCTCGGAGCAGGCAGCCCGCCAGCAGTGAGGCTGCAGCCTGCTGAGGGTTTCTGGTGAATTCTGGGCTGGGGGCCTGAGGGGAGGGTGCGGGGGGCCCAGGGGCCCTAGTGGGAGGGTCCGGGTGGCAGAGGGGCCACCTCTGCTGAGGTTCAGCCCTCAGAGAAGGCCAAGCATCGTCAAGTGGGCTGGGCTGAGGCCCCGGGCCCTGACCGTGCGGCCTAGGGCAGGACTGTGGCTTCAGAAGCCCTTCCTCACCCCTGACCTCTGCTTCGAGCTGGCGCCAGGTCTTGGGCAGCCGCCTGTGCCCCCAGAGCCCAGGCCTGGCTGGGCCGAGGCGGGGGCTGAGGCAGGAGAAGCTTGGGCCTTCCACGTGAAGTATCCGGGCACAGCTGCAGCTGGCTCCCACCTGGGCAGTGGGCAAGAGGCGGGGGTCCTGGTTGGGCTGGGTGAGGGGCAGCCCCCCCACAGGATACCAGGCAGGATGAGCTGGGGTGGGGGTTGGAAGGACCAGGGCCACAGGCCCTGGGAGCTGGGCAGCTTGATGGGGGCTGGGCAGGGTGCTAGGAGGAGGCTGGAGGGGCAACGGGGGCACTGGGCATGGGGTGTGAATGGCTGGTGCTGTTTCCCCGGGCAGCTCTGCAGACATGGATGTGTTCCAGAAGGTAGAGAAAATCGGAGAGGGCACCTATGGGGTGGTGTATAAGGCCAAGAACAAGGAGACGGGGCAGCTGGTAGCCCTCAAGAAGATCAGGCTGGATCTGTGAGTGCTGGGACCCCCAGGCCGCCTGTCCTCGGCCACCGAGAAATCGCCCTCCATTCATTCCCTCGTCTCGGAGGCTTACACTCAATCCTTTTCCTTATGTCACCCAGTTGTCCTGGGACAGCCACATAGATACAGCCCTTAACCTGTTTTTACCCCAACCCACTGCCTCCCTACCAGCCTTGCCCTGGCTCTATGGAGCCTTGTGGGTATAATAAATGCCTAGGAGCACAGGTCCCCATTGCCAGGATGGGCCATCTGAACGGTAACGAGGAACACAGAAGCAAATTCCCCTGGCCAGAAGTGCCCTTCTTGGCACCTGCCTCCACGCCCATGGCTGTACCCTCATTTCCTGCAGGGAGACTGAGGGGGTCCCAAGCACAGCCATCAGGGAGATCTCCCTGCTCAAAGAGCTGAAGCACCCCAACATCGTCAGGTGAGGTGGGGACAGTGGTGGGAAGCTGGGATGGTGGAGGCCGCCTCCTGATTGGCATCTCCCTGCCAGGCTGCTGGATGTGGTGCACAACGAAAAGAAGCTCTACCTGGTGTTCGAGTTCCTCAGTCAGGACCTGAAGAAGTACATGGACTCCACTCCAGCCTCGGAACTCCCCCTGCACCTCGTCAAGGTAGGGAGGGAAGCCTGGAAAGGGAGGGACACCCCACCCAGCCAGCCGCCTTCCACACAGCTACCTCCTGCTCATTACTCCAGAGCTACCTCTTCCAGCTGCTGCAGGGAGTGAATTTCTGCCACTCCCACCGAGTCATCCACCGAGACCTGAAGCCCCAGAATCTGCTCATCAATGAGTTAGGCGCCATCAAGCTGGCTGACTTTGGATTGGCTCGAGCCTTCGGGGTGCCCCTACGCACCTATACCCACGAGGTATCTCGGGACAGAGGGGAGAGAAGGGCAGTCAAAGGAACATCACCCGTGCATTCAGCCACCTGAGCCAGGCGCGGTGGTTCATGCCTGTGATCCCAGCACTTTGGGAGGCCGAGGTGGGAGGATCACTTGAGCCCAGGAGTTCGAGACTAGTCTTGGCAACATAGTGAGACCCCATCTCTTTAAAAAAAAAAAAAGCTGGGCTCGGTGGCTCAGCCTGTAATCCCACGCCTTTGGGAGGCTGAGGTGAGCGGATTGCCTGAGCCCGCCAGTTCAAGACCCGCCTGGGCAGCGAGACCTCATCTCTACAATAAATCACACACACACAAAAAAATCAGCCGGGCATGGTAGTGTGTGCCTGTAATTCTGGCTACTCAGAAGGCTGAGGCAGAAGGATCGCCGGAGCCCCGTGGGTCGAGGCTGCGCCACTGCACTCCAGTCTGGGTGACAGAGTGAGACTTCAACTCAAAAAAAAAAAAAAAG